TCACAGCCATCGGAGGCGGCTGTGTCCTCTGAGGTAGAATTCAGTATCTCTAGCTCCCTGATTTAGATCCTGCCTGTACTGCTCGCCTCCTCCTCCGTAAACAGGGAGGCTTTGTAGCGAGGGTTTTGTTGGACCTGTTCTTATATCTTTGCCACCCAATCTGCTCTTCAATTCAGGCTGTGCTGTGCGTTACCCATGAAGATGCATCTTTACCCCTGTGCTGTCTCCAATTTTAACTCCATGGTCACCAGGATGCTTCCTAGGGGTCTCCTCCTTTAGCTCTATGCCAGATGCCATATGTCCTTAATATTCTTTAGTGTTGATGAGCCAGGGGAAATTGGCTTCCTGGGACTCTTGCAGATGTGAGAAGCAAATTGAAAAAAATACTATATGTTTGTGTATGTGTTATATATGCACACATAGGCACACACACACACACATATATACCACACACTACATGGCACCTATGACCTACTGGCAAATGGGTGACTAAATTTCCCTTCTTCCTAGAACTAGCTCACTCAGACTCTACACAAATTTCTGTACCAACAAAACTCTACTTTCAACAAAAGGGTTGGAACTTTCTGGGGCAGAAGAGAGGCCTTTAACAAACAACGCAGCCTGCTGACGGCAGACAGTGCTCTGTGTCGCCCAGGCCCACACCTCATGCCTGAAGCACCAAGATACCCAGCTAGGAAATTAAAATAATAATAATAATAATGCAGAACGTTTCACATCATCAGTTTCAAAAGTTATAAGGGACCAATTATCCTCCGGAGCTGGCGCTAGGATATAGAGTTCCACTTGGAAGCCCTAATTTTCCTTCCGGGCACAATTCAAAACAGACAGAAGGAAAAGAAAAAATCGATACTGGAAATGTCAGAGATTTTTCCAGCCAGTGTCTCGTGGAAATCTTTCCAGGCTTCTGTGGATCAAACAGCCCGACTTCTCTGTGTGCAGACCCAAGATAAGTACCATTTTTTTACCTGCTTCCCGTGCCCTCACCTCGGGTCATTTTCATTATTCTTCACACGCGGATATTCTTTCTATGAATCTTTCTTTAAAACTGTAAAATGAAAATGCGCAGAGCCTCTCTGTGGCTCTGCAGGTGGTGAACTGAGCTGGAAGGCGGGTCCCAGAGGGGACAGACCTCACTGCTGAATGCATGAGCCTGGGGGGCACCCATCGGCACTGGGGAGCCCAGCACCCATCCTTCACCTTCCCACGAAGCCATATCCACAGTTGGGGTGACTTCCCTGCCCACCCTGGGCTCTGCTGAGTTGGGGGGACTCCCCTGCCCACCCTGGGCTCTGCTGCTCCTCTGCCCCTACACCTTCCTCTTGTCCTCTTGCTGGGGGAAGTTCTTTCCCGAGCCCTTATTAGCTTTCCTTCCTGACACTCTCAATGGTAGCTGAAGGCCAGCTTGCCCCTGTGAGCCTGGACTGCCCTCCTCACATGGAGATTTCTCCTGAAATGGGAATGGCTTTGAACCAGCTCCTTTTCAAGTAGCACCTGGCCCTGGGCTCTAACCCAACTCTCTTGAACCACTTCCACAGATGGGGCCACCTACCCTATTATTCTTTGCATACTGTTTTTCTTAAATCCAGTCACTCACTTTGTATGTGCGTGCATGGGTGTGTGTGTGTGTGTGTGTTGTTACCGGGAATGGAACCCAGGAACATTCTATCTCTAAGCTACTTCCCCAGCCCTTTTTATTTTATTTTGAGACAGGGTCTCATTAAGTTGCCCAGGCTGACCTCAAACTTGGAATCCTCCTGCCTCAGCCTCCTACAAAGCTGATTACAGGTGTGCACCACCAAGCCATTTTTTAAATGTCACTGTGTTTTAAACGGAAATTGTAGGCACGTCATTTACCATAAGCACAGTATCATTCAATGATCAACTTAATGCAAACAAATAATGTTACAAAATCCTAACTAGACCATGTCCCTAGCACAGGCACCACATTTGAGGCCTGCTCCTACTCCCTCCTTAAACGCAGGAGGTTGCTGAGTCCCAGAGAAGGGCACAAGACACATGATACGGCCCAAGAATCTCCAGCACAATCATAAGGGCTAAAGGAAAATTTTAAAATGGGAATACTTTTGAAACACAAGCTCTAACATTATCCAGTGCCACTGTGTGTTGTGTCACCTGTAATCATTTGGGGAATCTCTGGTAAAAAGCCCCTCCCTGCTCTTCTAAGAATCTATTATGCACTCTACAGAGAGTGGGGAACCAAATATTTAAAAAGCAACCAAAGGTTCTGCACCCACATTTTGAAAAAGTCATGTCTTCAAGAGCCTTCTTTCCTTAAATAAGAAAAATCCCAGATTCAAAATTACAAAAACCATGCTGAGTACGATGGTGCACACCTAATCCTAGAGGCTTGGGAGGCGGAGACAGGAGGATCGTGAGTTCAAAGCCAGCCTCAGCAAAAGCAAAGCACTAAGCAATTCAGTGAGACCCTGTCTCTAAATAAAATATAAAACATAGGGCTTGGAATGTGGCTCAGTGGTTGAGTGCCCCTAAGTTCAATTCCTGGTACCCAAAATAATAATTTTTTTAAAAAAACCCTACTAAACCCAGCCCCCAACCCCCACACCCAGAAAGAGATTCGGTAGATATTCACCAAGCAGCCTCTCTGATTAAGCCCCTGATAGGAAGTCACAAGTGGTTATTAGTTTTTCAATGCCTGGCATGCTTTGTAAGCAGTATTAACCGCCCCCAAAAAACCTCAGGGCTTCCCAGATAAAGTCCCCACCCAAACATCCCTCCCCACCCGACCTAGGGTAGCCCCCAACGCCAAGAGACAAGAGACGCTGACATTTAAAACCTGATTGAAACCACACCAAACCCGTCTCCTTCAAAGGTCAAGGAGGAAGGCAGCCCAGCCCAGAGGGCCCCTCCAAGACAATGAAAAACCACTCTCTGTAACTGGACGAGAAGTCAATCCACAGAGGCAGCAGGCAGTGAGCCCAAGGCTGACCTCCAGGTCAAGGGCAAAAATGATTCACATCTGCAACTAATTCTCTGTCTGGTTCTTCCTCTTCATGCTTCTCTCCCCCTGCACAGGAGTCTGACCCCATCAAACCCCAGGCTTCTGTTGGGTCCTGGTTTGTCTCCACTTAGAGGAGGCAGTTTTTGGCTGATATTTGTCATTCTTTTGAAGTGTACATAAAATTTTAAGGTTCCTGAATCTTGGAAAGAAAAATAATATAATGGAGACTGCACTGTTTTTTAAAATTTGAAATGTCTTTAAACTGTCTTAAAAAGTATGCTCCACTTGGAACCCACCTGAAACCAAGATCCTTAAGCCACTGCTCTTATTTTTCCACTAAAAAGAAGGCGTTAACCTGGGCATGGTGGCACACTCCCATAATCCCAACAGCTTTGGAGACTGAGGCAGGAGAATCACGAGTTCAAAGCCAGCCTCGGCAATTTAGTGAGGTCCTAAGTAACTCAACAAGACTCTGTCTCTAAATAAAATATTTTAAAAAGGGATTGGGGATGTGGCTCAGTGGTTAAGTGCCCCTGAGTTCAATCCCTGGTACAAAACACACACACACACACACACATATACACACACACATACACACACACACACACACAGGACTCATATAATAAACATGATTACTCTCTCTCCTGCTTTTTGGCAGTAACTGAGCACTTTATAAATAACTTATCTTTAGTCTTTATCACAACCCTATAAGGTTAGGTCCTATTACCCCTTTTTTTACAGAAAAGGAAACTAAAACACAGAGAGGTAAAGCAACCTGCTCAGGGCCACACAGCTAGTGAACAATTATGCTGGGCTCTGAACTCATGTAGTCTGCCTCAAAGGTCCATAATCTTGATCACTAGCTTCAGCTCCTGACATGCTAGGTGCCCAGTGCTTCAAGTGTGTTATTGCATGCAAACCATACAGTAACCTTATAAGGTAAGCTGTATTTTATTCCTGTTTCACAGATGAGGAAACTGGGGCACAGAGAGATAAAGCAGCTTTTCCAGCCCACTCAGCACACAGTGAGAGGTGGGGACTTCAACTTCACTGAAGTGTCACCCACTCAGTCACAGTTGTTCATGTCTCTACCACTGCGCCCCCTCCCCCCATACTTGCCTTGGGTTATTCAGGAAAGCAGCTTGTGTCTGTGGATTAAAAATGATCCTCTAAATGGATCTGGAACCTTGAACTCATTAGCCCCACAAGAATGTGTAGGCAGGAGGGAAGATTGACATCTAATCCAATCCTGCCTTCAACAGAGCAGCCCAGGAGCCTGTGACAGGAAATAGCTGGCTAAAGGGCACATGCTCTTACACCCAACTAGCTGTCACCCACAGGAGTGGGAGGGGATACCCTGAGAGCAGGAATTCTCAGGGTGTGGTTGGGGGCCCTGGGGGGCTCCTCCAGACCTTTCAAGGGACCCACATGGTCACAGCTATTAGCTGCCTTTGCCTCTCCCTGACGGCACAGTGGAGTTTCCCAGAGCCCACGTGACCTGCACTATCCCAACAGACTGAAAGGAAAGCAGACAGGAGAATCCATCCATCTTCCAGGAAGCCAGATGGCACTAAGATTTCCCAACACAGAAGACGGTGTCCATCCTCTCACTATTTTTTAATTCTGGAAAAGCTATTTTTCATAAAAGTGATATTTATGACAATGTAATCGGTTTCAATGAATTAAGACATATTTTAAAGCTTCTTGGGCTTAATTTCTAGTATGATAAAGACTGACAGACATAACCTGAATAAGCAGCAATTTCTAAGAGCATAAAGGGGTTCTGGGACCAAACAGCCCGAGCACAACTGCAGGGGGGTGGCTGGAGTCTCCATTACCTGCAGGGGTCACCTGGTGCCCTCGCAGCAGCAGCCCTGCATGGCGCGGTGTGTATGTGGGTGTGGGTGTTGAAGAACACCCAGGTGAAGAGTACATGGCCCTTCAGCTACATGGTCCCACATGTGTGATAGTGATGGATTCTCAGATGCACCCAGCTTACCTGGAAATAGTCTGTAATGAACGACCCAAGTTCACTCTTCAGCAGGCGCCTGGGGAGAGAGAAACACTGTCAAGCAGGCCTCGGTGATACAGCTCATAGTGACCAGTTCCCAAAGTAGGGCCATGACAATGTGCTCACCAGTGGCATAAGGGCTGAGGCCCAGCCTGAGCAGGGAGGGCACTTTCCTGGGTCCTAATAATGACCTCCATCCCCAAGGTCATCACAGCTGTGAAATCTTAGAAGGAGATTTGCTCATTAGTTTGCTCTGTAAGGGTGACCGTCAGCAGAGGGCAGCTGCAGGAAATCCCAATTCTAACAGAGCCGGCTGGGGCAGGCCAGGATACCCAACTTTGGTGAAAAAAAGAAAAAAGGAAAAAGCAAGAAGACAGACACAGCATTTTGCAACCTTCCACGTTTATAGAGCCCTTCATAGTGTAAGACGTGCTTTTCACACATTCTTTAACGATGATTTGGTGTGTATGTGGGAGGGTGTAATTATTATTCCTCCTGTACCCATAAAGAAATTGGGCCTCAGAGACGTGCCCCAAATAGGGGCCGAGCCAAAACTGGAGCCCAGACCTTCTGCAACATCTTTTCCCATAACCCCATCTGTCTCTCCTCCAAATCCATCGGAGATACCCAGACTTGACATTCAACTGGGCACCATGGTTCGGGCAGTCTCACCACTGATCACAGAGGGTCTGAGGCCGTTTTCAAAATGGACCACAAAGAACAGAGATTCTATTGACCCAGGCAAGACATTTACTGCGCTGTCCTGTATTTGCCACATAACATCATGGCACCAGGAGTACAAAGGTAAACAAGACAGACAAGACCCCTGTGGAGTCTCTATGTTTCTATTCATGTGTGTGGAGAGGGGTAGAGATAAATAGCATTTCAATAAATATACTCACAAGGTATTTCCAAAGTCTTAAGTGCTAAAAAATGGAAATAAAAAATTGGGAGCTTGGCATCCGATCTCATTTCCCTATGACAAATAAAGGGATCATCCCTACTGTTGCGTCGATACATCAATCCAGAGAAGATGAAGAAGCTAAAAACAAGAATAACTGGTTCCCAAGGTCCAATGTGTTCTTGTGGGAATAAGATCATCACGACTTCAAATGATTTCCTTTGCTCACCCCACCAGCTCTGGGTCTCGAAGAGCAAATGCTCAAACTTCTGACAACCCTGAGTATGAACTAACTCCCCAAAACATGCTGGCACATGTCACTGAAGGCTGAACGGGAGGTTGTTACAGCCAGATGTTGTTATGTGCAGAAAACAAGCAAAAGAATACTGAGAAAAGAGAGAAACACTCATGATCTAAAATTTTAAGAGTGAGCCCCGGAAAGATGCAAACACGTGTTGAACAAGAAAAATATCTTCCTTTTGCCTCAGCAGAAAATATGTCCCATGGTAGATGGAACATTTTGAGATTCAAGTTAATGGCAGGTCCCTAGAGGGCTACCCTCTCGACACACCCCAGGGGTTCTCCCGGATCTGGTCAGGGATGGGGAAATCTTCATCCAAAGTCACTGCGCTAAGAGCAGGTGGGTCCCTGCTGGTCTTCCAGGCTGAGGCTAGGACAGGAAACAGCACCCTAGGAAACAGCCCCACATAGAGGGAGGAAGAAGAGATAAGGAGTCTGCTTCTGACCACAGGAGAGAGAAACACCTCCTAACAAAGCCATGGTGGCTACTGGGAAGTCTCAAAACCACAAAGAAGCCAAGCTCATGAAAAAGTAGAAAAACAAGTCCTGGTAATGGCCCCTTGCCGTGGAGGTTTACAAGGTTGGCTTGGGCGCTCACCATGCTAAGGACACACTGTGGAACTGGGGTCCTGGAACCTGGGCTCAGAAAGCACTGTGCCCCTGGTGCTGTTGGAAAGATGGAAAGAGAAGGCAGTCAAGGAGAAGGAGAGACCTTCAAGATCCAGAATGAGGGCACTTCTTGGAGCAACAGGGTGGCAGGATCTTGGCTGGCATGATGATTGTGACTTGGAGCTGGACATGGCTTCATAAGTGACAGCTGTCCTGGGACATGTACAGTGGTACTCAGGGAGTGTGTGATGCCACCAAGTTGAAGATCCCCAGCAGCCTCCCTGGCTCCCTCCAGGGAGAGCAGAAGAAGCTGCTCCCTATGGGGTGTGTGGGTGCAGCACCCACTCATGGTTGCCAGGGCTGAAGCAAGCCACAGAGCGCGTCAGGAAGGCTAAGCTGTAGGTCAGATCAGCTGATACAGGAAAGAAGTCAAGAATGGATTTGATACAACTGCCAAGACAGACTTAACCAAAGGGCCCTGGAGCTAGAATCAGCTGTCCCAGGGGCGAAGGGATGTGGACAAGAACACAGTGGAATGGGAAGAGAACTTCTCTACCATCCGGATACTGTGACAATTACTTCTTTACTACTCCAGAGCCAGACACAGAGGTGGGAACCTGCTTTAGACACTTGAAATGTAGTGGACTACAGTAGAATCACATGCTCATCCTATTAACCAACCCTGAGTTCAAGACCCTCTTCAGAGTGATTTATAGAGTTATCTGAGCAGAAAAGACCCATCTGATAACCTATGTCAAGACTTTATTGTCCTAGGTGGCAAATCAATATGCCGTGTTGCCCCATCCCTTACAAAACATTATCTTCTGTCTGAGCAGGTTATGAGGCAGGGTCACCGCATATATGTACAGTTTTCACTGTAGCCAAATAGGAATCAAGTAAAGAGCTAATTTAAAAATCATGGTTCATCCATACAATGGCATTCTTTGCAATTGTTAAAAAAAAACAAGAAGTACTGTAAGCAACAATATGAAAATATGTAAGTTATATTAAGCATAAAGACAATAAGATGTAGAATAGTGCGTACACCAAGGGGCCTTGTGGAAAGAGAGGATAAAAACAGGAATACGTATTTTTAATTACATAATACCTGGAAATTCATTGGTTAATTCTGCTCTGACAACCTGCTGTTTGAGTCTGGATGAGCTGTATAATTTGGTTTCCAGTAGGCCTTTCAAACCAAAATAGATGACACTTTGATTTTTTTTTTAACACAAAAAACACATGTGTTTTTAAAAATCACATATAAAAGCACTGGATCATGTGTCCTCTCGGTGCCCCCAGGCAAGGAATTGGAGAAGGTTGAAGCTGTCACTGAAATTTAAACAAGGCAACAGTTTAGCAAACGGTATTTCCTGAAGTTAGAGGGAAATGCTGGCCAACAGATATCCCACCCCATCAGACCCCAAGTCCAGGCTGGGGACCTCATATATAGGGACCCATGTTGTCAGCTGTGTTTCCAGATGAGCTCCTTACAAGGGCAGGAAGAAACTCTGGAATTATTAGCTACTGTTACAATACTTATCTTTGAGGAGGAGGTTATGGGAACTGGGCTTCTGGGAAGCGGGTGAGAGATTATCCACTGTGTACCTTGTTAGAGGTTTAACGGTTGGAACCACATGAATAGAGTCCTATTCAAAAACAAGTCCCAAAGATTCTAATATGAACAATAATCACTGCCAAGGTCACCATGGATGGCCTGAAGCCTGAGAAGGAATGGTAGGAGGGAGTCCCCAGCAGGGCACATCAGGAAGTAGGCTGGGGTCAGGGTGACAGAAAGCCCTGGGAACCTGCCCATCCAGGCTGGTCACCTGAGAACCTTTGTCCTAAGGTGACAGAGAACAGAAGGAGGTGAGAAAAGGGGGCCAGGGCCACTTCCACACTCCCCATCTAATCCATTCTGCTTGTACTTGGTGTACAAGGAAACCAAGTTTGGACAACCCTACCCTTGCCTCAGCTGAACTGAGAGGAAGGGGTCCCCACACCTCTGTCTTGATGATGCCATCTCCAGGGGAACTTGACAGATGCTTCCCCATGAAACAGACACACTCTCCCCCTCACCAGAAAAAAAGGAAAGAAAACTGAGAGCAGAAACCCCACTAGTTAATTCTTTGGAAACCTGCTATGGGTTAGACATGGAGTTTGATTCAAGAAGACAAGGACGAGACAGAACTCAATGACTTTCTCCTCCCCAGGGCACAGGAGGTTCATCTTATCAACAATTATCCTCAGAAGTTGAGAGTAAAAAAAGTATCAAGGCATCAGAGACACACAGACCCGAATCACAGAGGGATACTTTTCCTGCACCATAGTCTGGCACACTAAGTTTGCCCACTTAATTTGAAAAGCACAAGAAAGAAGAGAAAAGCAGGAGAAAGACAAATTTAAAAGAACATGGTTTATAGTTCCCCAGATGTGAAAAAAGATGAAAATTCTGATTCCCATTTCTGAGCACCTAGGTTCCCGTGAGGCTCAGAGGCCTAGAATTCAGCTGCCTCCCATCTACTTTTTCCATTCTTTCCTAGGGTTTCTTCCCTGCGAGCAGAAAAGCAATTACTCACCAAAAATAAAAAATAAAATAAAATAATAAGGCATTAGAAACAGATTCCTCCTAGGGTGGAGCCTGATTTTTTTTCCAGTTCAAGTTTACTGAGCACTTGCTAGGCGCCAGGCACCAAGGTCAATAACATGTGTTTCTACATTTAGCCTGAACCACAGTGATACCTCTGCTTTCAGTATGCAAGGACACTGAGCCCAGCATCTTGCTGAGTGCAAGAATCCTGGAGGCAGCTTACCTGGGTCTGAACCCCCATAGCTGCTTCAAAGCTGTCGTGAGCAATAACCTGAGCAAACATTTTGCGCCTTCCCACCATCATTTCCTCAGTCAGAATGTGGGGATAATAAGGGAACTTAACTCCACAGGATTATCCCAAAGGCCAAATGAGTTACATCCCACAAAGTTCCTAGAACGGCACCTGGCACATAGCAAGGCTCAGCAAGCATGGGCCCCGCTTTCTACCCGGGTCTGCTGGACTCCAAAGCCCACATCCCTAAGGACTCCACCCTCCTCTAGCTCCTCAGCATTTTCTTCCCAGTGCAGCCAGACCAGCATTTCCTGAGCTTGGAACTAAGGACACTGGGGAAAATCATAAAGGAGGAAGTCTCTCAGGGCTAGACCGTCCTGAGCAAAGGGTTCAAAGGTGGAACAC